GCGTGTCAGGGTTCAAGGCCCGGAAACGGTTTTGAGTCTGAGGAAGGAGGGAAGGACAAGGAGAGGAAAAGCGCAACACGCAAGCATAAGAGACGTTAGCATAAGGTGGGAGCTGGTGAACTTGGCACCTCGCATCAGTAAAAGATAAACGCTTCCGGTGCTTCAAGTTGAAGATTGCTGCCTCAAGCTTGTAATGTATAGACATACGGGAGAAGGTAGGGTGGGCCTCACTGCAATTGAGGCAGCGAGCCTGGGGAGAAGTGCACTTCAACTTAAGAGTGACCTTCGCCCCCACACAAAGGACAGAGTACACCAGAGCAGCAGAGGGCACTATGCCCAAACCTCCAGCACTTATTACAGAGCCGAGGAGAGGGAATGTACTCCTGGACGGAGCACCTAGCACCAGCAAGAATGACAGACGGCGGAAAGGTCCTACCATCAAAGGTAATCTTCACAACTCGAAGGGGTTGATGGTGACAACCACGAGGTGGACGAGTAAACGTGTCTACCTGGAGGATAGAATGTCCCTGGGCATCGAGGATATGACGAATATCTTCGTGGCAGTCCTGGAGATTCCGAACACCGGTAGCAACATGGGGTGGGAGGAGAATAGTGCCAACACAGGCATTCAACCGAGCGTTCTTGGAGACCCGAACAGGGATCTCGCCAAGGCAGGACAAGGCGGCCAAGTGGGAGGCTGCATCCTGAGAAGGAGCAGCAACGACACACGTACCAAGACGGGTGGTGTGGAAAGTAACAAGAGGCATCTATGGAATCAACAAGGTGCCTATGAAGGGAGAAACCGTCAGGAGGCGCAGAATCAAAAGGGAGGAGATCAAAGTATTTGCCCCACGAAGCAGGACCAAACAAGGCTTGACACGCATCAGTATGGGAAGGAATCGAGTAAATGCGGCCGTGTCGAGGACGGCGTTGAGAACCCCCAGAGAGAGGGGGGTTAAAAGGCGCAGTAGTCACAACTAGAGACTGAGCCGTGCCAGGGGACGAGGTGGTCACTACTGAGGGCTTGGGGTTCGACTCAACCACAGAGGAGAAGGGGAGCCGAGGGGAGCAGTCAGGAGTCAAAGGATGAGCAAGGTCAGGGCCCAATGCAGTGGGGGCTACAGGGCCCGGTCTTCCAACACTGTCCGACTCGGGGGCTTGGTCGCCCACCCCACGAGCCTGAGAAGATAAAAAGAGGAACAGAATTAGACATAAGGACGAATAGAAAAACATTCATTCACGAATGTGCCTCCATACCCACCATGGAGCCACAATTAGAGGCCGGACACCCAACAAGAAGCTATCGCCGATCAAGCCGGGGCCCCCAAGGGGTGCGTCGTGAGTATACGCCTCACAAACGCCACTTTAATTAAGAACCGTCAGTCCGTCGAGATCGGGTTCAGTGACGAAAGGGGGATTGACAATAAAAGGTCCCCCTCGCTCCAGACGTTGGGTACTACAATTCTACGGGTGCAAGAGTATGCCTCCCCAAGCACCTGGGCGTCAAAATAGAAGAAGTCCAAAAAAAATAACCAAAACAAGCAAAAGGTCGGCAAGAAACGACAAGCAGATAGGAGAAGAGGGGGAGAAAAACGAAACAGAAGGAAAAGGAAAAGTGATCCGGCACAATTGAAGAAGAAAGCAGCTGGAGCATAAGGCCCAAAAGGACAGAGGACTGTCCCATGGAGCATCACGCTCCGGCAACCGACCACCAAGCCCCCTCACGGCGCCAACGGGCCGGATGGGGAGGGAGGGAGGGACTTGCTGGGTAGGCTCAGCTCCCATATGAAGGAGCATACAGGCATATACAGGTCTCCAGACCTTTACATGTCCTAAAAATTTTCTGTAACCATAACTTTTCATTAAGGTTTTGCTTGAACCCATTAGCTTTGCTATGTGATTTACAGTACTTTTGTATCAAAAAATAATTTTTTGTTAAACTATTTTTGGGTTATATAAAAGTCACCCATATTCTTTCCACTTTATTACATCATGACTAGTTTGTGTTAAGATGAAGCGGGTGCGAGCCATGAGGCTTGTTGGGTGAAACATGGTGTAATTAAATGTATATACAGGTATAATAAAAATATAAGATATTTAATATAAATTTGAACTATGCGGGATTTGATTAGTGTTCTGAGGATTAATGAAAGCAAAAAATGGTCGTCTTTTCAGTGTACAGCCTTTGTCTTCTCTTATCAATTTCAAACTACTTATAATGAATTGTGCTTACCTTATAAATCCAAAATAAAAAAAATAAAATAGTAGGTTTATGGTCAATATAGGAAAAACACCATTTTACAGTTTCAATCAAATATCTAAAGTCAATGTTCACAGGGTAATTACTTTTTATGGCTATATTGCAACTATTGATACAAGATACAATAAGCTTTTAACTAGTGTATATTATTCTATATAAACTTTCTTTTATCAAAACATACAAACTTGCTATTGTGTCACTGTACAAAAATACAAGTAGCCTCCTGTAATTGTAATCCTAATCCTTTACAAAATAACTTAAATAGTTTCCAAGCTACTTAGCCACAGCCATAAGACATTTCAGTACCAACCCTCAGTTACTTCATTATCTCATCTTAAAGAACTACACCTCTCTATGTTATGAAGCCCATCCAAACAGTGTCACAACGGACAGAAAATGATGTACTAAACTGCCTGAACCTAACCTAACCGAACAACCCTCTCACACACAGAAAACATGAATGTTTGTGAACCACTGTGATTTATAGTACATCATATTTTGTTCACTGAGGATTTTGACATTAAAATGCGATGTATTGTTCGAAAGGACAGGTTGGTTTGTGTGCCACTCGATAATAATTATAAATTAGTAATGGTAATGTCTTCTCACAGACATAAGATAAAAACCCACAAAAAAAAAGTAATCAAATTAATCGTTGAGCTGAAAGTCTCATTCCAATCGCACACTCAGACCTAGATGAAGCAGTCAGGAGAGTGCGAAAGACTTGGTGTAGATTCCTTTCATAAATTTCACATATACGCAGGTGTGGGTTTTTATCCTAAATAATGATAAACTTATAAAACACTTATTTCATAACCATAAGACCACTTCCTACATAAAAAGACCTTGTTCTCCACAAAGACAAAGTTATGAAGGACTAGAAATTTCCTACCATGATTTAACCATAAAAATATAGTGCACACACACCTGACTGGAAAGAATTGCCAGGCAAGGCAGTAAATGAGATATATGCCAAATCCTGTGAAATATACAATGCAGGCACAAAAAACATTTATACCAAATGACAGATGCAGAATCAGGTTCAACAGACATTGTGCGAGGGGTCAGAGAAGAAAAGACAAGAAAATGGGTTCAATATATGAAGAGGCCATAACCCTCAAACATACCAGCACAAAAACAAGATTCAAACACACTGTAATGAGGAGAGAGCGGCAGAAAGTAACTTGGAAAAAGGGGTAGCAGACAAATGTAAAACAGACCCAGTCCTATACTGTAAATTCATTACAAGTAAGCTCCATGTAAATGATAAAAATCCAGAGATTGAGAATGGGGGAACAGATTCAGTGAAAAAGAAATGTGCAAAATACTAAGTGAACAGTTCCAAAGCATGTTTATGCAAAATAAAGTTTTCAGAGAACCAGACAATGCTAATTCAAGAGAACACCACAATATCCTACATCCTTTATTGGGTCCTACATTTATTGGGCTTCCCTTCACCTTCACTGAAGCACTACAGCATTGTAGTAAGTTTCACCACCACCACTGTTTGTTGTGATAAAAGACGGCGAGGTGCCAGAGTGAGAGGTGCACACAACTGCTCATTATGAATGCCCAGAGCTAACTGAGGCTACCAGGTGTGCGCCTCTGGGAAGCCGAGATACCCCCCGACATGTACCTGGCACCAGCTTGTCACTCATGTCACCCACACAATTATATCGTTCTTTTAATACCATAAGTACACATTGCCTTGAGCAGGGTTACCCACACTTTTGTCGAGTACTGTATATGGAAAAAGGCAAAAATAGTTCCTATCTACAAAAATGGTAGAAGTGAAGACCCTCTAATTATAGACCCATATCAATAATAAGTGTGATAGTCAAACCAATAGAAAAAGTTAACCAAATGTACTATACCAGGAGAGAAATGATATAATAACAATATGATTTTTGATCAGGAATATCCTGTGTAACAAATTTACTTAGCTTCAAATCATAGAGCCACAGAAATTCTACAGGAAAGATGAAGTTAGGTTGACTGTTTATCTGGCCTTAAAAAAAGCTTTTGACAGTCTCACACAAGAGGTTGTTATGGAAACGAACATGCTGGAGGGGCGACAGAGAAATTGCTGACATGGATAAAAAAATATCCATTGTCTACATAAATGATCTACCAGAAGGAATACAGAAATATATAATCTTGTTTGTGGATGATGCTAAGTTGCTAAGGAAGATAAGAGACTGATGATTGTCATGCCCTGAAAAATGACCTAGACCAGGGTCATATTGTCACATTTGCACCAAATAGCAAATGGAATTCAATGAGAATAAATGCCATATTATGGAATGTGGAAAATATGTATAAATGCACAATATGGAATGTGCAAAAATAGGCCACACACAACCTACAAACTCTGTGGAAAGGAATTAACCAACAAAGAAAGATTTAGGGGTGGTTCTGAATAACAGACTGTCACCAGAGGAACACAAAGGACATTGTGCAAGGTGCATATGATAGCTTCACTTTCCAACTTCAAAACTGCTTTTAAAATACTAAAGAAAATGTTCACAACTTTTGTGAGACCAAAATTGGAATATGCAGTTGTTGTATTGTGCCCATATCTCAATAAGTACATAAATAAACTGGAAAAGGTGCTACAAAAAAGGCTTCCGGAACTGAAAAACAAGAGTTACGAGGAAAGACTAGAGGCGCTAAATACCAGTAAGCCAAAACTAGAAGATGGAAGAGAGATGATGTGATCACCACTTACAAAAAAAAAATAACAGGAATCAACCAAATTAACAAAGAGGAAGTCCTGAAACCAGCAACTTCAAAAACAAGAAGACACAGATTCAAGCTAAGGAAACAAGGGTGCCAAAAAAATATTAGGAAGTTTTCTTTTGCAAATAGTGGTAGACAGAACAAGTTCAGTGAGGTGATGGTGGAGGCCAAAACTGTCAGAAGTTTCAAAGCATTATACGACAAAAAGTACTGGGAAGACGGGACACCACGAGCACCATCCTGTAACTACACTTAGGTAATTACAGTTAATATGGGATGGAAAAATAATGGGTTGCTAAGCCTTTAACACCCTTCTTTCTCAATAGGAGAAAGATACATATATTACTTTTTTCTCTGGACAAATGCATCCCAGACTCATGAAAGTTGGGCAATGAAAATATGCACAATATTTACATTGTTAATGTTGGTCCAAGAAAGAAATTAAATATAAATGTAGGGACAGCCCATATATTAGAATTAATCTGTCGATTTATTTTCTGTACACCACCAAGCTTTGATTTGCATTCAACACACTTAATAGAGGATAACTGCAACTTTGGGCGATGAGAACCAATTCCCTCTGACAGAGCACCAACAAATTCCACCTGATCACCTATGTTTAACTTGAGAATAAAGTCTTGGAATGTACTGTCTGCATGGAGACTAACTTGAGAACCTTCATTACCAAATTTCCAATATGAGGAGCTCATCGCTACTGTAATATCAAAGTCATATTCATTCCAGTTTTCTAGTGTGCATGCATTAGATCCTAAAACACGATGCAGCAACCGACAGCGCTCAATAGCAGTTGTAACATCTTTGCTCACTGGACAAGGAGGTAATTTTTTACCAAAATAACACTTCATAAGATCGACAATGACTGCAGGTAATCTAGAAAAAACCCTCTGGGGTAAGTTGTATACGCTGACAATGTTTACTTGAGCAACAGACCCCTGCCATTTTACCAATGTTTCCAATAGAGGTAGACAACCATGCACTGTAGCAGCAGCAGTTGAGTCTTTCGAAGGAACACACACATTCTTGTAATTCTCCCACTTTAAAATTGAATGTTTTGATGGTGGAGACTGTACAAATAGGCTTGGGTGCAGTAAAGCCAATAACATTACCCCAACCACCATCCACTTACAAACAACAATAAAGTTTGGCAACCAACGTGTCAGTACCCATACAAGTAAGACGACACTGAAAAAAATGAGCATCAGAGCTTGATAATCCATTCCAATGTATAAACCAAGGCAAGCACAAAGAAGAGCAGGTCCTCCTAACAGCATGAAGGGAGTAAAAGTAGGCAAGAAGATCAATGCACACCATCCAGCAATAGGGTACAAAATATCCATTGGCATGGTCACCTTCTGGTATGCAATTAGAGCCAAATGGCACCACACGACACTGACCAGGTGTGGTGAGAGACGAGTAACACCGTGGCACACTGCCATACCAAGCTGAATAACAAACCACAACACATGTAGCATTGGCCCCACTCCAAAGTGTAACTTTAATTTCCACAATACATTAATGTGGTTTTCTGCAAGGATGTATTCTAAGCCTGTTCCTCTAGATACAGAGACCAGCCAATGGCCCACATATCCATGAACACTCGGGGTCATGGCTGATATGTAAACTACTAAAGACAAAAAGTGCCATCCACTCAGCCTTTCTGGAACTAGGGCAAATGTTATTACTGCACACATACATATCACAGGTAAAAACATAATCATGAGTTTGGGAGACGTTAATGGAACTGTACCAAGATAAAAAAATACAGCCACACCCGTGGCAACATATGGCTTCCAGCACCTAGCTTTAAATTTGCCTTCAGCTCTATTGATATCAAGCTCGGGACAATAATGAGAAAATACTAGTGACCAAATGTGAAAACTAATAAACCTCTTTCTGTTAATTAACATATGGACTGAAGACACTATCATTACTATTAGAGATATGCATGACACAAGAAGTGGCAACACAACTGCTGCACGTTCTGCCCCAAACAATGACATTAAGCTGCCAAGCAAAAATATTACCAGTCCACTTATTATGGGGGTAAAATATCCTAAACATTTTTTAACATAATTAGTCAGCACAACACCTAAGAAATGTATGTAGCTTTGGTAAATCCTCTCAAGGGTTCTATATGGCCAATGTATTGCCTGTAAGAGATACGAAGTGTATGGAGAAGGTGCAGTTAGGTTGATGAAGTAATGAAGTGGTGGCACTCGTCCCTGGCAGTAGAGCACCGACCCTGATACAACATGCTCCTCAGAAAATCTTTCTCCACCATAGCGTTCTTCCAAGGTGCAACAATCTTCAGGTTGCTGATGGTTCTGTAAGGAAATCATTGAAATCATCAGGACATTTCATTTCTTTATCTCTATAAGCTGCATCACTCACTTGTGGCTCTGTATGAGGATGATATTTCGTTATAAAGACAACAGTAAAGGTCATTCATACTACCCAGATACATTCACAAATTCATACGGTGAAGCAGATATTGTAGTCGATGCATACAGTGGTACCTCGGAATACGAGTGTCCCTGTATGCAAGTTTTTCGGAATATGAGCCGGATTTCCTCGGAAAATGTGTCTCGGAAGGCGAGGGTTACCTCGGAACGCGAGTTTGTTGATATGCGTTCAGGCCGACCTAGCGCGTGGTGGTACGGCGATCGTCGCCCCTCCGCCCCTCAGTTTAGCATTGTCTCCCGCTCAGTGACTATCCCACATCAATTCTTTACCCGGATTTTCAGTGTTTTGTTGGATTTTTGGTCATTTGACTATACAATTTGTTGTTATAAATCTCGCCATGGGTCCCAAGAAAGCCCATGTGAGGATGACAATAGAGGAGAAACAAAAGATCATTTGGAAGCATGAGAACAGTACACGTGTTATTGAACTTTGTAGGCAGTACAACAAAGCCACATCAACAATATGCACTATCTTGAGGTTATCTTGAGATGATTTTTTCTGGGCTTTTAGTGTCCCCGCGGCCCGGTCCTCGACCAGGCCTCCACCCCCAGGAAGCAGCCCGTGACAGCTGACTAACACCCAGGTACCTATTTTACTGCTAGGTAACAGGGGCACAGGGCGAAAGAAACTCTGCCCATTGTTTCTCGCTGGCGCGTGGGATCGACCCCAGGACCACAGGATCACAAGTCCAGTGTGCTGTCCGCTCGGCCGACTGGCTCCCTATATACTTAAGTATATATACTTAAGTATATATACTTAAGAAGACTTAAGAAGTCTTATACTTATACTATACTTAAGAAGAAAAATGAGACGAGTGCTAAAGTGGCAAAAGGCATAAGAACAATGACGAAACAAAGACCACAAATACTTGAAGTAGAAAAGTTGTTATTAATTTGGATACACGACAAGGGATTAAGGGGTGATAGTGTTTCGGAGGCCATCATTTGTGAGAAAGCCAGGGTATTACACGAAGACCTTCTAAAGAAAACCCCTGCAACGAGTGATGCAGATACGAAAGAGTTTAAGGCAAGCAGGGGCTGGTTTGAAAAATTTAGAAGAAGTGGTATCCATAGTGTTGCGAGGCATGGGGAGGCTGCCAGCTCAGACAAACCAGCTGCTGGACGATTTATTGAGGAATTTAAAGAGTTTGCAGAGGCTGAGGGATACCTACCACAACAAGTGTTTAATTATGATGAGGCAGGACTGTTCTGGAAAAGAATGCCTAAGAGGACATACTCTACCAAGGAGGAAAACTCCTTGCCCAGACACAAGCCTATGAAAGATAGGTTTACGCTTGTGTTGTGTTCAAATGCGAGTGGCGATTTGAAAATTAAACCCTTGCTAGTGTATCATTCTGAAAATCCAAGGGTTTTCAAACAGTATAAAGTGCAGAAAACCCATTTGTGTGTGATGTGGAAGGCTAATAAAAAAGCATGGGTGACTAGACTTATTTTTTCGGAGTGGGTGAATGAAGTGGTGTGCCCTGCCATAGAAAAATATCTGCAGGAGAAACATTTGCCACTCACAGCCGTGCTTCTCCTCGACAATGCTCCAACAAATCATCTTCCATTCCACAATTAACAATTAACAAATCATCTTGGAAGATGATTTGTTGCCCAGATACAATAAATTCCTCACAGTTAAATTCCTTCCTCCTAACACCACTCCTCTAATTCAGCCTATGGACCAGAAAATCATAGCGAATTTTAAGAAACTTTATGAAAGGGCACTTTTCCGGAAATGTTTTGAAGTGACTGAAGCCACAAACCTCACCCTCAAGGAGTTCTGGAAACACCATTTTAACAATTGTAGTGCTTTAAAACTCGTTGACAAAGCCTGGCAATTAGTGACTCAAAGAACCCTGATCTCTGGCTGGAGAAAATTGTGGCCTGAATGTGAGAGAACTAGACTTTGAGGGGTTTGAGCCTGTAAATGATGCGCCTATTGTTGACGAAATTGTTACTCTGGGCCGGCAAATGGGCTTGGAATTGGATGATGATGATGGGGAGGAGTTGGTGGAAGAACACGGCGAAGAACTGACCACCGAAGAACTCCAAGCCCTTCAACAGGAACAGCAAGACAACGCAGCTGATGATTCTACAGTGGAGGAGGATGAGGCAGTAGCGAATGTCCCTTCTGCAGAAATTTGGAAGGTGTGTCAGATGTGGGAAGAGATTCAAACAATTGTTGAAAAGACTCACCCAGAGAAAGCTGTAGTAGGCCACTGCCTTAATCTTTTCAATGACAATGTGATGCCTCACTACAGAGACAGCTTGCGAAGAAGGGAAAAGCAAGCTTCCATGGACAGATTTGTGGTGAGAAAATCAAGCAGTGAGTTACAACCAGGACTTAGTGGCACTCAGATAAAACGTGCCAGGGAGGGCACACCAGAAAGGTCCTCACTGCCTGATGTGATAATGGAAGGGGACTCCCCTTCCAAACAGTAACTCCTCTCCTCCTCCCCCCTCCTCATCATCTTCCATACGCATACAGCATTCAATAGCAAAGTAAGTAATAACTTGAACATAGTTTTGTAGGTTTATTTTGATGAATTAGGTATAAAAATTTAGTTTGATGTGGGGTTTTTGGGGTAGTCAGGAACGGATTAATTCATTTCCCATTATTTCTTATGGGGAAATTAGCTTCGGAATACGAGCCGTCCCCAGGAACAGATTAAACTCTTAAACCGTGGTACCCCTGTACATCCAAATATGCATTAACACAATACATGCCATATCACTATTTACACTTAATTACTAGAGAAATAAATATTGTATATCAAATGTTTTCTCTAAAGTGGAGGAAGATGGGGGAGAATTGACAACTTTAGGATGGCATCCACACCTCGGAGCAAGTGAGGTGGACCCCAGCACCTCAGCCTCCAAAACCAACTGAACTGGCACTGGTGTGTACTGTATTCCAAACGAGGTTGCATGGGAGGTGCCAGCAAACAATGCTTGGAAACCAGTCACAACATAATATATGGAGAGGAAGAGATTGCTAAATTAATACAGTACAACCTCGATTCAACGTACCCCGATTCAACGAATCTCCGGCTAGTTCGCACACTTTTTAGGTTGGAATTACTCACCCGGTTCGATGAACAGTGGTTCGCCGAAGCAGGGGGTGTTCGGATTTGCTTACGATGTTGAGACGAGTTCACAGACTGGTAGAAAACTTTCCTATTCTATCACAGATTACAATTAATAATTCACTTATATGACAAGTTTGATCACACAAGTGGACCGTACAAGTGGTCCACAAGCTTATGATGTTGGGATAGAGTTCACAGAGTGGTGGAAAACTGTCTCATTCCATCACAGATTACAATTAATAATTCCTTCAAAAGAAAAGTTGGATCACACAAGTGGACCACACAACAAGTGAAGCATATGAACCAAACACCAGCCAGAATGGTCCATACAACAAGTGAAGCATATGAACCAAACACCAGTCAGAGTGGACCATACAACAAGTGAACCATATGAACCAAACACCAGTCAGAGTGGTCCACACAACAAGTGAACCATATGAACCAAACACCAGTCAGAGTGGTCCACACAAGTGAACGACTGAATTTCAATGATTTTCGTTCACTGATTTGTGGCACACGTATCTTTGTAAATTAATAGCTAGCTAGCTGTGTTGAAATCTTCTTATATACATTTTTTGTGATGAAACAAGATGAGTGAGGGTGGACAGATAAGGGAATACTGTACAGTAAACCTCACTTTACAGTGAGGTTTCACTCACTTTCGTCTGTGTCGTCATAGTTCAGTGACCCATGACTCTGAACTTTTAAGATTAATAAATTTATTTCTAAAACTGGTGTTTTAGTAACTCTTTATTATCCTAATTAAACTAAACTAAATAAAACCAAAAATAAACTGTAATGATAGATATCTGCTATTTGAGAAATTATTCACGTTATTGGCAGCACAACTCGAGCGCGAGTGGATGGGTCTAGTCTGTGTGCACACAATACCATGCGCGTGTTGTTTGATTTTGTCGCCACAGTTCAGTGACCTACGGCTTCGAAAAAAATTAATAAATCAGTTCTAAAGTAAGTATTTTTTATAGCACATATTAGTGTAATAATGTTGCTAAACTAAATATATAATTTGATGTAAATCCAATATTTGAGAGGAATGTTACTGGATCTGGCCTAAACACCAGCCTACTGTAGGGTGTATAGACCTAGTCTGCGTTCGTACAGTAGGCACCCAGTGACCCTAGCTTTGTCTGCGATTGACGTATTTATCCGCCGGAGGAAGAATAATTGTGGAATTTACCATTTTTTTTACTACAGCTGTATTGTTATACAACAAAATGTCTCAGGGGCTTACTAATAATGCCAAGAATGAAGCAATATTTTGCAAGAACTAGAAGCAGAAAATCAACCAGCACGAGCACAGCCGTACCCCAGCACGAGCACAGCCGTACCCCAGCACGAGCACAGCCGTACCCCAGCACGAGCACAGCCGTACCCAGCACGAGCACAGCCGTACCCAGCACGAGCACAACCGTACCCCAGCACGAGCACAGCCGTACCCAGCACGAGCACAGCCGTACCCAGCACGAGCACAGCCGTACCCCAGCACGAGCACAGCCGTACCCCAGCACGAGTACAGCCGTACCCCAGCACGAGCACAGCCGTACCCATAAAATAAGGGCAAGAGCTACGAGGAGAGGTTGGAAGCATTAAACATGCCAAAACTAGAAGACAGAAGAAAAAGAGGTGATATGATCACTACATACAAAATAGTAACAGGAATTGATAAAATCGACAGGGAAGATTTCCTGAGACCTGGGACTTCAAGAACAAGAGGTCATAGATTTAAACTAGCTAAACACAGATGCCGAAGAAATGTAAGAAAATTCACCTTCGCAAATAGAGTGGTAGACGGTTGGAACAAGTTAAGTGAGAAGGTGGTGGAGGCCAAGACCGTCAGTAGTTTCAAAGCGTTATATGACAAAGAGTGCTGGGAAGACGAGACACCACGAGCGTAGCTCTCATCCTGTAACTACACTTAGGTAATTACACTTAGGTAATTACCCAGCACGAGCACAGCCGTACCCAGCACGAGCACAGCTGTACCGAGCACTGGTAAGAACATCGAGTGTGGAGTGTACAATTAAAATAAGTGTTAAATTTAAGTACATAGTGTTAGTGTTCAAATTAAGGTTGCAGTACAGAAATTTTAGTGTACAATAGTTTTCATAAACTGTATTGTAGTACTCAACATACAGCAGAACTACTTATCAATACAGTGCTAACGGCATAATACAGTACTGTATGTACTTACTGTACAGCATTCACAACTCCATGAGACATCAAGATGGACATAACTCCAACAATAAGGTAAGTAACAACTGTAACAGAGTATTTTTTAGTAGAGTAGTAATATATAGGTACAGTATATAATATGATAATGCATTTTTATTGTTTACAAGGAAAAAAAGACACCGACGCAAATGTCTCTTGAAGGTCACCTCTAGCAACAAATCCAACGCTCCAACGCACCGGGGTTGGTCCCGTATAGTGCGCTGAATCTAGGTTGCACTGTAATTTATTTCAAATCTGAGGAGGAAGGCAAATAAAAAAGAAAAACAAACTTCACATTCATTAGTAGAAAATTTGGAGCAGCATGGCCGCAAATCCCTCACGGATAACATTTATGAGTACCCATTTCTTAATACTACTACGGTATTAAAAATCACTAAGCAGGTATCCTTATAATGTCTGCTAAACTATCGGTGACAACGGGGAAATGAAATCCAGCCCTTTATGCCCTACCTCCTAGCCAGTTTATAATTGCCCCTCATTAACCCTCACAAAAATAACATTATCATCACACTGGTACAGTACAAGTGTTGAACTGATAAAGAACCAATACCTACACCCAAGACAGGTTCCAAGGCCTACATAAAACTGAAGGTAATGCCAGCGCTGGCTGACTCAGCTCCTATGGTAGTAACTTCAGCTACCTTCAGGACTATGGTAACCAAGGGCATCAACTGAGCAGCACTAGCGGAGATAACCCTGAAATAAAGCCGCTAGTAGATAGCAGCAGACTACTAAACAAAGCCATGAAAATAAGTGGTCAAACATCAATAAAACACAGAGGATAAAGAAGCCCTATGTGTTGTGTGAAGAAGTGTTTCAAAATGATAAATCAAAACTTATCTTGGCGGCCATTGTTATGGTGTAAGTACTGTATCAAGGTAAAGTCCAAGGAGCTTAATCAGGGATGAACGCATATGAGTTAACATGTGCTACGTATTCCAAAAACTAATATCACCACCATCCAACTTCTGGTAAGTTGAGCATTGGTTTCAAGATGGTGTTCTGAGAAACATGAATGATGTGGGTCATAAAGCACACCACTTAAAACTCATTGTTTCTGAGTCAGTTTTCCTTGTGTTGAACACTACTGCCTACAGTAGCCAAGGCATTAACAGGAAACAGCAGACTTGACAAAAAAGTCAAGAAACTGATAATAGAACTAGATGAAAAGTTGAGTACGCAAAAGTTGAGCACAAATAGTATCAAAATTTGTACACTGATAATCTGGTGGAGACAGTTTGTCTTATCTTATTGACTCTGATTATTCTCTCACCTGCTTTACAGTTTCCACGTCATCATTCTCGACACCTGCTAGAACTTCCCGGATCTTGCTTGCCAGGCCACTGCTACTGATAACATCATTTCCATCACTTACACTGTAAAAGGTAAATACAAATAAATATTTAAAGTAACTGCATAGTATTATACCGTATTTCTCTACCAAAATCACATGAAAAAATTTAATACTAGTTTCAAGTTTACTGCATCACAAATCCAGATTACAACTTCAACAGATGCATTTTCATGCCTTTTTCAAATGTGTACACACGAGAAACCAGCGTCTTTTACTGGTCACTGTACAGAGCATGAGCTGAGAAAGTAATGGTGCAAGGAGTGTCTCGCAGGATCAACCTTTTTTATTGTGTTCTGCCAGTTTTATTTGATTTGCTGTCACAGACCAGTATCAGATACGGTATATATCCAAGTTTCTACTTCCTGAACCCATAATTTACATGATATTCCATTAGACCTTATTTCATAATATGATTTCTCTATTGCAACATTTAAGACAAGACTTTTCCAAACCTCCATATAGAACATCTGCATTTTGACATCCATCCATAATATGGTAAAGGAATTTCTATTAATCCTATAGCCAATGTGAAGCAGCTTGCACATTATTATGTCTTGGTAACCCACTGTCTTGCACCTTGGCTGCTAACTTGGCCTTCCTTTCCCATCTTTCATTGGGGGAAATAGGTAAGGTAGGGTCAGGGAGCCCAGGTCTCCACCTTGACTGCTAGGGTCTGCCTTAAACTTTCTAGTGGGGAGCATTGGATTGGAGAATCTGCTCGACTCCTGAACCTCTAAGGAATGAAAAATTGCATTACGCTTGGCAATGATTTGACTGTGTTAAGGGACACGGTAATTATCAAAAGGCTGCTCCATGTCAGGAAAACTATTCAACACTACCTGTGTTGCAGGATATTAACAAAATCCTAAATATCACTCAGGATGCAAATACAAGAGCAAAACGACTAGACAAAATTAAATTGATATGATATACATATACAGTGGTACCTCGCATAACGATCGCCCCAAAAGACGAACATTTTGGGTAACGAACGGCCCGATCGGCGTCAAATCGTCCCATATGACGAACGCTGGTTTGAGTAACGTCAACACCACAAGGTGGGGTCGCGCTGCTTCTTGCACATTCTTAGACGCCTCCGACGATGCACATAAATTATGTTGTTCTTGTTTAAAGATGCTAATGATGCTGGGATATAAAAGGGTGACTGCTGAGATGTTGCAAAGCATGGACATTTTTGTAGGAAAAAAGAAATGAAATGTCTGATATACAACAAATGTCAAAAAGGTTTGTTCGGTGTTTGGCAGGTAAGCTGCTCCATTATAACAATCTTTCTTTGTTTCAAATGTGTTCCATTTGTTTTGTATTTGTCATTTATGCCTCAATAATGGAGAAGCCTACCTTACATACACTGAATAAACCACTATGACATTTTCCTTTCTTTAAATGTGTTTAATATTTATTTTTCATTTGTCTTATAGCAAAATGTTCGTTCGGTGGTCTACAGGTCTGCTGCTCCATGTTTCTTAAATAAAAAAAAAAAACGAAAAATAAAAACTGTTGAAACAATTTGAAAAATGGACAAATGCCATAAAGGTTCGTTCAGTGTTTGTCGGGTAGGCTGCTCCATTATTGAGACGTAAGTGACAAATACAAAACAAATGGAAACACATTTGAAACAAAGAAAGATTGTCATAATGGAGCAGCCTACCCGACAAACACTGAACGAACCTTTTGCTATAACGAATATGAAAGACAAGGGCTGCTGGCTGGGTTAGTACTGCGTGAGCAACCATTTGTGGCACAAGTGCCTCTGGCTCTCAAACACCTGTCCGACACTGTGTTGAAAGACTGCGCTCAGTCGGTGCAATTCAGACCCTATTGTTTGAAGAACCTAAGGGTCATAACATTGGTGAAGCTAGGCGCAATAAGGGCTTAACACAACGGTCGAATGCCAGTGATACAGCACCTATGAGGATGCTACAGCGAGCGTATCCAGTTGTAGCTCTGAGCCCCACCCTTGCCATCTCGAATTTATATAGATGATACATAGATGAATTGTTTTCTGCGTTCAGTGATGAACCACTGCCCGAAACGCTGCGCGTGCTAGTGGCTTTACAAGACTGTAATTACCATATTTGTATCCTCACATTCCTTATGTACATTCTTGTATATGCATAAATAAATAAATAAATAAATGATGCATCTGATACAAGTACAGTGGTACCTCGGAATGCGAGTGTCCCTGTATGCGAGTTTTTCGGAAGACGAGCAGGATTTACTCCAAAAATATGTCTCGGAAGGCGAGGGTTACCTCGGGACGCGAGTTTGTTGATACGTGTACAGGCCGACTGGCGCGTGGTGGCATGGCGATCGCGCCTCAGTTTACCAGTGTCTCGTGTCCAGTGACTATCCCACCTGAATTCTTCACAAGGATTTACAGTTTTTTATCGCCTTTTTGGCCATTTGAGCATAAAAGTTGTCATTATATATCTTGCCATGGGTCTCAAGAAAGCCATTGGTAAGGTTCAACCTAAGAAAATAGCTGTGAGTAGAGGCAGTAGAGGATGTCCCTTCTTGATTAAGAAAATGTGTGAAGTATGGGAAGAACTGCAAAGTTTTGTTGAAAAAACTCACCCAGATAAAGCTGTAGCAGGCCGTTGCATTGACCTTTTAAATGATAATGTGATGTCTTACTACAGACAAGTGTTAAAATGTAGGGAAAAACAAGTGTCGTTAGACAAATTCTTAGTAAAACAAGCAAGTCCTAGTGGTATGCAGGCAAAATGTGGCAGTGTGTGCATACCAGTGAAGTCCTCACTGCCTGATGTGATAATGGAAGGGGACTCCCCTTCCAAACAGTAACTCCTCTCTTCCTCCCACCTCCTCACCATCTTCCATACGCCTACAGCATTCAACAGCAAGGTAAGTAATAACTTGAACATAGTTTTGTAGGTTTATTTAGATGAATTAGGTATACAAATTTAGTTTGATGTGGGGTTTTTGGGGTAGTCAGGAACGGATTAATTCATTTCCCTTTATTTCTTATGGGGAAATTAGCTTCGGAATGCGAGTTTTCGGAATACGAGGCGTCTCCAGGAACCAATTAAACTCTTAAACTGAGGTATGCCTGTAGCATAGATGAACAGTGTTAGCGGCTTCCATGGTGGTGGTGTTCATTGATATTTTCAAGAATGCCTGAATCTCTTCCTGACTGATGGACACTCTTTGAGGCTAGCTGAATCTCTTCCTGTGTGGGACCTTACAAAACGATCTTTTCAAGACTACCTTACAAATTGAGCTTTTCCTATAATCGTTTCAATACTACCTTATGCTTTACAAGCTTGGCTACATACCACCTACAAGTACTAAAGCCAAGGGTGCACGCGAGTGCGTTATTTGCAAGCACACAGAACGATGAAACAGGAAACGAAAATCTATCTGTAGCTGGTGCAAGGAGAGCAAAGTCGCACTGTGTACCATGGACTACTTCGTTGACTATTACGCACCTCCAAAGTACTGAGTATGTAATACAGTGTGTTACTGTGTAAATAGTATGTGAAACTGTACATATTGTAATTTTAGTGAATTTTTACCATGTAATATTGTGACAATAAACATTTATTGTGGACACATTACTGACACATGTATCACAGTTCCATGGAAAATTATGAACATTTTACTGTATACATATTGTAAAGGTCACAAATATGCATCATATACGATAAAATAAACAAATAAAACCGCATTGGAAATGCATAGAAAAAATATTTGAAAATATATTTGTGGCAACACGTGGTGCTTGAATGGCCTGCGCGACCGTGTCTGGAAGCTTCAGACACGGGCGACCAGCCCCTGATGACGTCACAGCGCATCTTGTCCATGCCCTCACAGCGCACCTTGTCCACGCCCTCACAGCCAAAGTAAGTGGAATTTGGTAATTATTTTTACATAGACATGTTCAGGGACGGTAATTTATCATTTTGCAAAGAAAAATGATATTTTGGGAAACATTTGATGTCATGCACACTAGGGGAATTTCACAATAAACACAGTGCATCACACTGGTTACATGGGGGACACTCTTTTGTATGACATCTGTTTCACATGACGAACATGGAACGGATTAAATTCGTTATGCGAGGTACCACTGTATATATATACATATGTGAGAAAGCTGCATGAACGCGCAAGCCATAGATCACCAAGAACTCTTTGACCCGGCCAGGATTCGAACCCATGCCGTACAGGATCACCCCTAAACGTACACAGTACCGTGACCACCGCACCAATGATCGTCTATAAAGATTGGTTAGTCCTGGTGCTTATTAACTAAGCTCCTTGACTGATCAACCCCCGACGACACTCATGGATCCATTTGGGTACATTTTTTCATCAAATTCTGGCACATGCACGGGCTGCACCGAGTTTAACATGTGTGAGAAAGCTGCATGAATGCGCAAGCCATAGATCACTAAGAACTCTTTGACCCGGCCAGGATTCGAAAACTCAGTGCGGCCTGTGCATGCACCAGAATTTGATGAAAAACTGTACCCAAATGGATCCAGGAGTGTCGCCAGGGGTTGATCATTCTTTAGGGCACATGTGAGGAACACAAATGCGAACAAGCCTGAATGGTCCCCAGGACTATATGCAACTGAAAACTCACACCCCAGAAGTGACTCGAGCCCATACTGCCAGAAGCACTCTACTGGCGTTCAGGATCCCTTAACCGCTCGATCAACACGACTGGACAAAAGAGGATGGTAGCCGAGGCTATTTCCATCCCCCGCCGGCACTCAGTTGGTAATCTTTTTGCAGTTCGTTGTCTTTTTTAATCCTATCTGAACTAAATGGCAGTTATATATATATATTATATATATATATATATATATATATATATATATATATATATATATATATATATATATATATATATATATATATATATATATATATATATATATATACATATATATATATACATATATATATTTTTTTGGCTACCTAACCTATAAAGATAGGTTAGGTTAGGTTAGGTAGGGTTGGTTAGGTTCGGTCATA